AGTATCTGTTCGAACTGTGACATCAATTAAAAAAGAAAGCTTTGAAGCCGGCGGGGCAGCCTTGAGTACTCCCGGTAAGAAAAGGCAATATTGTGAAGATAAAAAAAATTCACATTGATGGCAGTCACTTATTGCTTATTTGTTTTCCTTATTTTCGTATGTTTTAATTTTTGTCTATGGATACTCGGCATAATATATTTGAGACAGCTATTATTATTATTATTATTATTATTATTATTATTATTATTATTATTATTATTATTATGTTCAACGGAGTCCTTATATTTCTTCCATTTCAAACATTATATTTCTCTGTTAAGAAAGCAAATGACCAGACGAAAGTCAGAAAACTCTATAGGGTATTGCAGCCCAAACCAAGACAATATAAAGAAAAGTTTATTCAAGAAAAAAGCGAAGAACTGGAAGAACATAACAACAAATGGAGCTCTTAAGAAATATTCCAGGTCATCCGAAATATGACCACGAAGTGTAAATCAACAATGGCGACTGTTAAGAACGAGAACGTCAAAATAAATACAACAAAAGAAGAGATCACGAAAAGATGGGAAGAACACACAAAAAAAGTCATATGAGAAGAACTTACAAATATAGTGGATAAATATAGATGATTGCGAAAAAGAACCAGAGAAGAAATGCATTGGGCGACAAAACCACTGAAAATGGGAAGTCCCCGGGTGTAGATAATATTCAAATCGAACTATTCAAAGATGAAGGGGAAGAAATCTTTGCGAAACTAACACAATTATGCAATGTGATCTGGAAAAGAAAAGAGACTAACAGATCTGGAACGCACTATAATTTTTCTATTACAGAAGAAAGGAGATAGCAGAGATTGTGCAAAAAACAGCACAATTGCATGAATACTGTGTGATTCAGTCAATCGGCAAAAGTCATCCTTCGGAAAAAGAAAAAAAATAAGATTTTAAAAATGTTGTTGATGTAAGCATATACTTTCTTAAGATTTTAAAAAAACAATTCACATTGAAAGGAACCTCATTTCCTATCTCCTCTGGAAAGTTGTGTAGATTACATTACGTCGCGTAAGCGTTAGCGTAAA